GTTCATTGGCTCAAGTTGCCACACTTCACAGTAGTATACAAAGAACAGGTAGGTAGAACAAGTCATCAAAGTTGGGTGAGGGGATAAATAATCTGTAAATGAAGGTTAGTGCAAATATTCAAGGTTTAGGAGACGTCAAAGAGTGAATACATCTGCACCATTGTAACGTTTCCAGTCATGTCACTAAGAGTCCTCACCCACTGATTCCTTTCGTTTCGGCAGCACTAACCAGGAAGTCTATATCTCCGCCACACGACTCAGACTAACTCCACAAGTAAGTGAAGTGGTCAACACATTCCACCACTTCACTAACTATCCTTAAACTGAAAGTAGTTTCAGACCAGTCTAGAGCATTATCTTACATTCGACAAGTACTAGCAAAACGCCTCCCAAACATGCTCAAATTTCTGCTAAACGCGTTCAGAAGACACCGCATTCTGTTAAAGACTTCATCTAGTAGGACAATGTCGTCTGAAGTCTCCAAATCAACCAGATGAGCTCCAATGAGTAGGTCAATCCGTGTGGAATTGGACGTTCCTAAGGTTACGCCCATTTCTACATCCTTAATTAAGTTAAATGGAAACGGTGGCAGTGGAGATTCCCAGGGGATGCTAGTTATCACATGGAAAATCTCCATAGGCCCTAAAACGGCTGCTTGAGTTTGAATAGAGAGCTTTAATTAGCGTCGTATAATTTCCTATTACTCCCTTCACAGTCAGACACTGCCACAACACCTCAGAGTCATATGCCACCATCAGGTCAAGAAGTATAGAGTGTCGGATCCTGGTCAGTATGTCTGTGTTCCAGAACTTGTGGGAGTGTAAAAATGTGATCGATTCACCCTTTTCCAGGTCTGAAATGTGCTTTGCTTTCCTCGAGCTTCAGTTGGGCGTTGGATAACTATGGACGTCAGGATCTTGTACACGATATTAGTCAAACTAATTCCCCCTCTGGTTGTCATAAGATTTCTCACCCTTCTTATAGACCAGGATGATTAGTGAAGTACATCAGTGTGATGGCACTACCTTTGGTTCCCATAAACTACCTAGTACTTTAAATAGCAACTTCCTGCCTCCATCCTTGAGTACTTTAGGTGGAAAACTGTCAGGTCCAGCTGCTTTGCATCGTCTTAGGCCCGATATGGCTTTCTCAGTTTCAAGGAGAGTTGGAGGACTGACATTGATGTCTCATTCAGGTTGGATGTTGGGCAACTGAAGCGTTGATAAAAACCAGTTGAACTGTGCTCCAAAGTGTTCTGCCCAATATTCTAGCCGCCTGTCCTTGAAGGTTATCAGCATCCCATCCTTTTCAGTGATGGTTTCACTCACCATCGTCTTCTCGCCGGTATTCTTAATAAGCCTAAGTGGTTGCCGAGTTTTACCCGACGCTAATGTCTTCTCTATCTCTCTCGCTTTCTCCACCCACCACTGTTCCAGATCGACGAGTAGACTGTTAGTGAACTTAAGTCTAAGTTGCTTTCGCTCTTCATCGTGGTCAGGACCAGCTGGGATCAGTATTCTCGCATCACTCAGTTTGGATGATGTCGCGGAGATCCAATGACGTTTGCCAACTTTCGGGTGTAGGTTATCAACTGTGTTTACCGCTGTTGCTACAGCAGATTTAATATCACTCCGGCTTTCCTCAGGATGAGCATTGCTGTCATGTTCATATAAATGCTTAGATATCTCCTATAAATGTATACTTGGCGTCCGCATCTACCAATCGAGTACTGATGGGCCTCACTCCCTCCTGTTTCTTGCGGTCAGTAAGGTGAAGACATACACTGGCACGTACTAGCGCGTGATCGGAGTCCAAACATGTACTCCAGAAAGAGTGGTAATCCTCCTCCGATCCTCTCCAACAATGGCTTATAGCAATGTGCTCTATCTGTATCCATTAATAGTTTGATGTCGGCAGATATCATGTGAGACAGTGTCTCTCCTTATGCCTAAAGTTAGTGCAAGCCAGAAACAAGTGATTGTCGGAAGAGAATTGCAACAGATGATCACCGTTGTCGATTTTCTGGGATGGGATTCCTTAAATACCCCCAAGATGCCTTTCCGATTGGTTCAGCTTTCTAACATAAGCGTTAAAGACACCTGCCATTATGACTACATCTAACCGTTTTGCTTTCTGTAGAAAAGTTGACAGAGATCTATAAATATTGTAATAAACCAAAGGTCTAGAAAAAAGAAATGAGCGAATATGGTGTTACTATTTAAGTTATATAAATCTAATGAACACTACAGTAGTGATTACTTGAAGGTTGATAACCTGGTGCGGCGAAGAAAATATAATGCTTCTTATAGTTAGTATTGGCCTATTCCTAATGTTCTCTGCAGTCAAAACGATTGATAACGAGAAACTGATCTGATCTGTTGCTTATTTTTCACTCACTATTTCACTTATTGATTGATAATGCAATATATAGCAAGCAGTGAAGTAGGCCAACCGTACATAAAGCCATCTTTGGTGTGCAACAATAGAAAGAGTTGATTATATGCGTATAAGTCACTCAAAATGTTAATGAACATTTCAGGTATACTTTTTTGTGTGAGAATAGTTCAGACGATAGTTGTATAGGAGAAATCGAAAACAGTACTGTTGTGAATAGCCATTATTATTAATATATTGTATAGACTCTGCTGGCATTCAAACATTAGCACGGTTTTCAATGAGTGAAATGCAATGAGTATGCAGTGTGAATTAGGTTCATTTCACATTTTACTGAATCTATGCGGTATATAGTACCAACAAAGAGTTGTAAAGTGAAATATACCTGTAATATAACATCATCGTATTCCAACCTACAAAACTATTGTTGTCTTCATACTTAGTGATTAGTATGGCTTATAGATATCCAAACCAAGTTGGTATTTGATGGTTTCAAGGAAATTTGGCCATTGGGTAAATAATAATCATTATTTTGGTATTTGTATTTCCCAATGTATGTAAAACAAATTTCTTTCGACTAACGTTTCGCTGTACTTAATGCTGCCAATAGCTTTATCAAAATTATAATAAATCGGAATTTACAATATCCTTCAAGCTTATATGTGTGACAACTTGACAAGTGTTCTTCTGCATGAATGATTCTGCCTTGTCAGAACTACTGAATAAACATGATATCCATATGTAGTATGTTGTGTGTATGTCGGGGTGGGTTGAGACCAGATCGAACCACGTTTCACTCCCTCATTCCTTCCCATTTACACAATTTTGATTCCACTTAATGTCAAGAGATTCTACTATGCTATCAGATGTTCTTTATCATTTCTAAAGCCACCTTTCTGAATAATTTCAATATTATCAAAATCCTGCATACACCCTATGGCTGATGTCTTTTCAAGGTTTCTCAGTTCCATTGGATTTCTAGGAGATAGAGTGGAACCTCTTCAGTGTTAATTTTTTCTAATCATGATTTAACGGCGAGTCTTTCCTATGTGTATTGCATCCACAATCTGAACTTTTTATTCAATAAACACAATTAGATTGTAAATCTAAAGGGATCTCGTCTTTTAAATGAACTAAGGTGCTCTTCAATGTGTTTGATGTTCTGTGCAACACTCTGATGACATTGTAGTTGTTGAGCTTTCTCCTAATTTCATCCGATGTGTATGTGATCTGTATGGGATAAATATTGTTGAGGCCCATGATTTGGGAGTGGTTCTGCGATCAACTGAAGTCTAGATCTCTCAGTATCAAGTTCAGGTCAGAAGAAGAAACATATAAGCGGGAACTTCCGTTCCTTCAGCTATAACCATTTTAAGGAGTGCAACTCTTTCAAACAAGTATTTTTTAATTTCAACTTATCACATCCAGTCACCAGCACGAAAGTTTATGTTACCTCCAGTCTCTTAAAGAGATTACACGTTCTATTAACGGATGGAAAAGGAGAGAGTTAAGGGATTAAACTATGTGAAGAGGATACCTAAAATGAATAATTATCGGATAAAATTCATTTGGAAAACTACTCGTAAATCATGGGCCTCAACAATATTTATCCCATACAGATCACATACACATGGGATGAAATTGGGAGAAAGCTCAACAACTACAATGTCATCAGAGTGTTGCACAGAACATCAAACACATTGAAGAGCACCTTAGTTCGACTCTATCTCCTAGAAATCCAATGGAACTGAGAAACCTTGAAAAGACATCAGCCATAGGGTGTATGCAGGATTTTGATAATATTGAAATTATTCAGAAAGGTGGCTTTAGAAATGATAAAGAATGTCTGATAGCATAGTAGAATCTCTTTACATTAAGTGGAATCAAAATTGTGTAAATGGGAAGGAATGAGGGAGTGAAACGTGGTTCGATCTGGTCTCAACTCACTCCGACATACACACAACATACTACATATGGATATCATGTTTATTCAGTAGTTCCGACAAGGCAGAATCATTCATGCAGAAGAACACTTGTCAAGTTGTCACACATATAAGCTTGAAGGATATTGTAAATTCCGAACTTATTATAGCTTTGTTAAGGCTATTAGCACTAAGTAGTGAAACGTCAGTTGAAATAAATTTATTTTGTTTTTACATTCATTAGGAAATGCAAATAATAGTCTAAGCGCTATTGTCATTAAAGACGTTGTTGATTGGACTGAATTGATCGGTTTGTATTGACAAATAGAATGGAATGCTTATCGTCGATTCCACTGCCAACTACCATCCATCATTACTAGTGTTATTGACGCAGGTGTATTAAAGTGTATAATGCCGTTGTAATTTAAACCCATGTCTAGTTGAGTTATCCAATTGTTTTTCAATTGTATAATCCTATATACTTAAACCCTATTTCACTTCATCGATTTTGTTCATAGCTTAGTATACATTAGGATACAAATCATTTTTGATTTATAACATAATTATTATCTCCAAGGTAGATAAAAGTTGAAAAAAAATTGTGTATATATGTTATTCTTATTTTGTTTTTCACAGCAACGTGTTTTATTCAAACAATTTACAAATTAATAAATTTCGCTATGCATGGATATAAAGTTAGTCAAGTGTTTTTGTTTTTCTAAATTGGATATGTATTATTAGAATTCAAAATGAATTAGATTTATTGTATGAAATGTTTCCTGATGAATTTAAAGTTATTAATGAGTAAGTTATTGGATTTCATTATTCTAAATTTTAACCCCTTTTCCCCTCCCCCTTCCCTTCTCATTAAGGTTAGATCAATGTACAATTGTTTTTATCATTACTCCTGGAATAGGATTTAATAAACCAGTGAATAAGTTTATACAGTTCAACTTGAAAATGGTATTAACTTCTAAGGTTTCTTTCTTTCTTTTTTTTTATTGTATTAATATCTACCTTGTTATTATAGTATCCAACAGAATCGCCAGTAATTACTATAGAATGTGTTCATGGTTTAAAAGAGAAAGATATTTTAAAATTATCATCACTCTTAAAAGAACTAATTTTGGAAAGAAAAGGTGATCCAATTCTTTTTGACCTTGTAGACGTGAGTTCAGTGTGTTATCATCTTATGTATTATTATTATTATTATTTGTCCCTTGGGTTCGTAATGGAACATGGGGCTTCTCAGTAGCACATCTCTATTGCACTCTGTTCTCTGCAGTCTTCTCAACCTGGTGCCACCACTGCTCACAAGCTTTCATTTCTTTCTTACATGATCTCCTTCATGTCACCCTCAGCTGGGATGCCCAACTCGTCGTTTCCCATTTGGATTCCACTCGAGAGTCTTGGTTGGTTCGTCGTCATGCCAGAGTTCCTTGTTGCTTATTCTTTCTGGACATCTGATCTTTAGTATCGAGTGAGCCTAGACTGCAACTGTTGATGAATGTCTGTAGTTTGTTAGAAATGCTTTTCCATTCTCGTTCATTTCACCTAGCGGTTCTCGGCCCATGGTTAGTTCTCTTCCCGTGTTCTCCGCTCCCAGTTTGGCATTCATGTCACCCCACACATAAGAATTTTGATATCGCCAACTGAGATCTTGTCCAGTAATGATTGCAGTTGTCTGTAGAATTCCTCCTTCTTCTCTTGATCTGCATTATTTGTAGATGCGTAGCGTAGCACTGTATGATTGTGACTTTCCTTCGTTTTGAGTCGAATCTGTCTTGGTGTCATCATCCTGATGCTGGAGGAGATTGGTTCCCACTGTATGCAAGAGAGTATTCGATGTTCTTGAGGATGTCATGATATCCACTCGAAAGCTCAGTGTGCTGGTGGTGGTTTATTAACTCTCCATTTGACAGTTTGTAGAGTCCACTTCCATTCCATCTGCTCTTGCAGATTCCTAGTACTTGTATGCTATATGTCCTCATTTCTTTTGCAATCTGGGCAGCCTTGCCAGCCAGCTTCAAACATTGTGCGAATATTTCATGTCCCATTCTTTCTTTCGCTTTCATCGAGAGAGGCGAAGATACATGAGCAAATTGGCTTGTTGAAGGCTTGCACCAACTGGCCTTACATTCGTCTCTCCGATTTCAGCGAGGAATAAGTTTGTTCTTTTTTTATATTTTCTTTGTGCTTTTTTAGGTTTCTTTAGCGGTTGAATTGATTTTAAGGGGTGGAGCTGCCAGCTGTATGCCTAACCTTCCCTGGTCATCCGGGCTTAGGACCGGCTGGTAATTAGTGAACTAGTTTACCAGGCGAGGTTTATCATCTTATGGAATAAAGAGTAGTTCACCTTCATTTCTACTTTTACTTCACTTTTCATCAGTTCTCTTACCCAACCAATATTAACATGAAAGTTGGCATTGTTGTCCAACGATCCAGTTTGTCAGTTGTAAGGCATAGGAGTAGGAGAAATGTAATAAAAAGTCGTAAAATGTTATAAAGAGAGGGTTGAAGAGTGAGTAAGGGAAAAAAGTAGTATGATATGATTAGATCATATTTAAACTGACCAACCACCGATTTCCAATTGTCACGTTGACCTCAACAGCGATCATACTTCATGATTGATGCCATGTTTTAGTCTGGCCATCTCTAACCCTTATCCAGTCTAAACATACTTCAGCTAATATTACATGATGGGTAAACGGTGACACACACCTCCTAACAATGTGAATTGGTTTAAAGACTCATCAACTAACTAGCCTCTTTCTTCTTAAAACTCTGTGTCTAACTCCTAATTTACTGACATAGTAGTGTCATGATACTAAGGTCTGTGTGTAGATAGGCCAACGGTAGTCGAACATGCGAATTCTTTTCATATTCTCCACTTTTAATGGTCATATTTCTTAGCCATATCGTAAAGTTAAGCGAACTGTTATGCAGTAAGATTTAATTCTATTCTAAAAAACGAAGTACAGATTAGTATACATGTATAAGTGGTTTCACCAAATGGATCAAAGTTAGCAAAATTATCGTCATAATGAAGCCAAGTACAGAGTGAATTCAAAAGTTCATACCCTATTGTTTGCATGTCAATGCACTAATTCAAAAAGTAATGCAAACCGAATTGTTTCACTCTTGAAATCTTGTAGTTATCAAGCCTATGTAACTTTCAGTATTCAGTAAGACTTGTAGTTCTTCAATTCATATGATTTTCATAGTATATGTATATTTTTTAAATGCGAATAAAATATAGGATGTTATGTTTCTGACGTGTTTGGCAACAACTGCGAATTAACTTTTTCAGAGAATTAAACATCTACAAACTATCACATGTATAATGTTATTGGTTGTATTATACCGTCGTTGATTGCACCGAATTGATCGGTCTCTATTGGCATATGGGCTCCTGCACGGATGCCTCAATTATTGCCTGTGTTTTAATCATATATAGTAATGATGGATAGTGGCTAACAGCGGAATCCAGAATGCGCGTTTCGTCCTATTTGGGACTCAATAGTCAGCTGTATGTACCTGCGTCCCAGTGAGTGGTGTTGTTCCCACCGGGATTCGCACTTGGAACAGATCGCTTCAAACTCCAGATCGTTATCCACTAGACCACCGGGTCATGAAACCGATCAATTCGGTCCAAACAACGGCAGTATAATGCAACTATATCTGTCGCACAAGAAGTGGCTATCGTGGCTTGGTGGTCTAGTGGATAACGATCTGGAGTTTGAAGCGATCTGTTCCAAGTGCGAATCCCGGTGGGAACAACAACACCCACTGGGACGCAGGTACATACAGCTGACTATTGAGTCCCAAATAGGACGAAATGCGCATTCTGGATTCCACTGTTAGCCAATGTCCATCATTAATATATATCATGTGTTTACATTCAAAAAGTTGGCAACTATTATCCATACATACATAGATCAAGAAATATGATAGTAGTAAATTTTACAACGATAATAATTATCGACTAATCAAAAAGTCTCCTCGTAAAGCAACCAGTTACTGTGAAAATGTATATTAAGTATATAGATGATGGAAATCGTTTGATAGTGTAATTGTATACATATTGAAGTGATCATATATCCGTGTACATTCGAACATTGACAGTGCAAACACAGCTGTACATCTAGTACTGTTAAGTGAAGACGCTGATAAGATAAAGAGTCTTCTGAACACTTTGAGTGGCAATTTGAGAATGTTTGGGATGCGGTTCTCACCACCCAAATGCTAATTTTTGCTCGAGGACTGATCTTCAGCGGTACCACGGCTAACAATAGAGAGTGATGTGGTGGAGTGTGTCAACCATTTCACTCACCTGGGAAGTAGGATCAGCCCTGGTGGGTGGCTCAGTGGCCGATGAAATCTCTGCACGAACACAAAAGGTTCGGTTGGCTTTCCCCAACTCACGACACCTGTGGCAACGCCGTGATATCCGTTTGTCTATTAAGGGTGGCGTGTACTGCACAGCAGTCCTCTCTGTTCTACTATACGGCTGTAAAGCAATGGCCATTGACGATGAAAACATGAGAAGGCTGGCTGGCTGGCTTCAGGTGTTTGACCACCATTGCCTTCGTAATATAGGCCGTATTCCGTGGTGTCACCACATGAGTAATGCAGAAGTGAGGTGTAGAGTTTTAGGGAGAAGAGGTAAATCAGTTGACGACGTTATGAACCTTCATCGACTGAGATGGTTGGGACATGTGTCACTTATGCGTAGTCGCTGACTGCCTCGTCACACAATGTTGGTCGAAGTTAATGCAGGCTGGAAAAAGGCTCGAGGTGGCCTGACTAAAACATGGTACCAGTGTATGAAGTCTCTGACTGTTGATTTGAGCCATGTGGGGCGATGCTGACCAGGTGGTTGGGGTGGGTGGGACAAGAGGAACCAGTGGTTGGAGACTGACTCTAGGTGATATGGCTCAGAATCGAAGTTAATGGCGCAAATGTATACACACATGATCCTCAGAATAATCGGTACAGAATCTCACCATTTTGTCATTCTTCTTTCCTTTCTTCTCGTAGTTTATATTTCTTTTGACTGAATTTTCTTATCTTCATCTTTCAACTGACTACCTTTCCACTTGATGTAGTGATATGAGGTGTGGCAACTCCGACCGTTACGCAGTAATGCCTGGTCCTATGTTGATATTGATGATGATGATGAGCTGTACGTCTGTTATTATACACAAGCGTTAGGTTATGAGTTTGAGAGGTCTGGGAAACTAGAGATTTATATCAGTAGAAACATATATTAATATATGAGGCAGCGAAGACGGGACTTCAAGTGAATATAGAGAAGAGAGAGCTGATGATGATTCCCAGCTAACAACAGCAACAACAAGCTGCAATCACCATTAACGGGAGAAACCTAAAGGAAGTTGTCTCTTTCACCTACCTAGGCAAAGAAGCATCGTTCAACTACAGGGGGCACAGACGAGGACGTCAAAGCCAGCCAGGATTGGAAAGACAGCAACACAGGCTTTCATTAATCTGAAGTAATCAGTGTGGAGATCTACTGCACTCCGCTCAGCACAAAAAACAAGGTCTGGATTTGTAACACCAATTCAGTCAAGTCAGTTCTGCTATATGGTTGAGAAACTTGGCGTATCACGAAAAGCATTTCCAACAAACTACAGACATTCATCAACAGCTGCAGTCTAGGCTCACTCGATACTGAAGATCAGATGGCCAGAATAATGAGAATAAGCAACAAGGACCTCTGTGAACGAACCAACGAAGCAAGAACCTATCACCCAACAAATATGCAGTAGAAGAAAGTGGAGATGGATTGGGCATGCACTGAGAAGACGATTAGGAGACATCAGGCGTCAGATCAAGCCTTCGAGTGGAATCCAAGGGGGAAATGAGGAGTTGGGCGTCCCAGCTGAGGGTGACATGGTGAAGATGATGTGAGGAAGAAACGTAAGCTTGTGAGCAGTCGTGGCGCCAGGTTGAGAAGACTGGAGAGAACAGAGTGCAATGGGACGTGCTAGTGAAGGCTAGAAAGTCAAGGAAAAAAATTATATATATATATATATATATATATATATATATATATATATATATATATATATATATAGTTTTAGCTTTAGGAATGTTTTACCAAGAATCAGTTTCAGCTTGTCTTTGTACTGTACCACTGTCTGGAAT